AATTCAGCCTAGGACCAGCCCCACAATCCCACTGTCCAGGCACAGAGGGAAGCAGCTCTCAGCAATTCTGCGGCCCCGCCCCAGCTTCTCTTTCCCAGCACCGGCCATCTCTCTTGCTATCTGTTTCTCTTGGTGATTACCCTTCATAAACATTCAACATCTATCCATCTACCTGGCCCTACCATAAGCCTGGGGGTGCAAATTCAAACTCTCTACACTTACAGAAATCAGGAAGGGAGAGCCAAAGAGCAACAGGTACAGTCTGATAAGAAGGGCTCGTGGCAGGAGCAGGGTTCTTTGAATGCTCTGAGGAGAAATGCTCCACCCAGACCAAGGGGTAGTGGGACCAGGAGCACAGGAGAGGAGAGGGAGCCAGAGAGGGGTTTTCCTAGGTGATGCCTGATTCGAGTTTTAGACGAGATGCTGAGGTTAGCAAGGCGCAGAAGGTGGAGCAATGTTTGGTCTGTTTTGCCAGCTCCCAACCATCTTGTAAGCTATTTCAGGGAGGTGCTTGGTCCTAAGCCTCGCAGGCAACCACTACGTAAAGCAGTTAATTGGCCGTATCAACGTAGTATTGTAAACCAGAATAGAATTGCAGAGACTATTATGCTATACAATAGGACCTTAGGTACTGTGTGTACTTCACACACTAGTAACCAGTATTAGCTTCACAAGATCTTTTCCACCCTTTTTCACCTCTGCTTCCCTCTTCTACTTCACAATCAGTTTTTTTCTGAAAAGAGATATGATTTCTGTACTAAGGAGGGAAATTAACTTACCCCAAAAACATCACCTGGGACAAGATCTATATGCTTTTCTCAAATGGATATTAGATGATATTATGCAATTAATTTATTTTTAGGAGATGCAAGCTGAAGTATCTATGGGTAAAGTCTTACGTTTGCAACTTACCTTAAAAACTATGGTGGGGAAGGAGACTGGGAGAGACACAGAGAAAGAGACAGAAAGCAAATGTGGGAAATGCAAAATGTAAATCATTATAGAGGATATATGTGTTTATTATACTATTTTTCAATTACTCTACAGTTTAAAATTAAAAAATAAAAAGTTGGGAAAATACAAATGGGTTACTCACTTGGAACAAAGTACTGAATTGGTCAGTAGTAGATTCCTTTCAGAGCCCATGTAAAAAATGCCTTTGCCTTCACATGGTGCCTATCACCTCATGAACCTATCTCTGTACATATTTGTTTTGTCTGTATTCCCATCTCTAAGTGTCAAGCTGCCAGAATACAATCTCATATTCAGAATTTTTCTCTTGTCCAGTGGCACAAACCTAGATGTTCAGACATTTTAAGTGGTGAACACAATCACTTAATATTACCTTACAATTCTTACCTTATAACGAAGGTCAAACTCGTCTTAATTGCAAGGTGTTTAAAGCAGGTATGTTTTCTACAGCATTTAATTAAGTGAGCATTAAATCTAAGTGGATGATAAGCAAGGTCTGGATTTGGCAAGAAGTTGTAAGGGCACCTTGAATAAGGCGGTCCTCTGATCAGCTTTTCCCAAAGCAAAGCAGTCATTCTGCAGTTGTTCCATTAAAACAAACAAACAAGACCTTTCTGGTCAAAATCAGTTAGTAAAATACTGCACATTATATTGTCTGTCTTGGAGATTCATATTATATATTAGCAATTAAAAGTGTTGCAAAGTTCTAGTTTCTAGTAATGGAGGAGTAGCTTCTATTGGATAAACGCTTCCACAGATAACAACTAAAAGTTCTGGAAAAAATATTTTTTAAAAACTACCTGAAAGGGCTTCCCTGGTGGCGCAGTGGTTGAGAGTCCGCCTGCCGAAGCAGGGGACACGGGTTCGTGCCCCGGTCTGGGAAGATCCCACATGCCGCAGAGTGGCTGGGCCCATGAGCCATGGCCACTGAGCCTACGCATCCGGAGCCTGTGCTCTGCAATGGGAGAAGCCACAACAGTGAGAGGCCCGCGTACTGCAAAAAAAAAAAACAAAACAAAAACAAAACAAAATAAAACAAAAAAAACTACCTGAAGACACTGCAAAGCAATGAAAACCAGACAGAAATTGGAGTACAGCCTATGTTTGTAAAAAGGGAATGGCACTAGATAAGTTTCCATTTTTAGCTTTTTTGCTGAGGGAAGGCCCTGGTCTCTGTAAAGCAAGGAGGCTGAAACTCAACAGAAAACACTGTTTTACTTGGTTGAAGAACCAGAGGACAAAATTCAGTGTGACCACAGGAGCTTGAAAGAAGGGGGAGGATCCTGGGAAGAACAGAGCCTATAAGGGAGAGCCTTAAATTCTACACATAAACTCTACTCACATCTTTGGCTGCCCTTGAACTATATATGCATGGGTAGATTCCAAGCAACTCATCTAAGCTAAAAGAATTGAGCAGAAACTTCAGCTGCTGCTTGCTGCAAGATAAATAGTGTATAGTGTCAGTCTGACCAAGTTAACTGCCTATTAAAACAAAAGGTCAATATTCTTTAGAGGAATATAACAGAACACAGAGTCTCTTCAACCATTCACAATGTCTAGGATACAATAAAAATTGGTAGACATACAAAGAAATACCTAAATGTGTCCAAATTCAAGAGAAAAGGCAATTAATGGGAACTCATTTCAAAATGATCAAGACATTGGTATTAGTAAACAAAGATTATAAAGTGGCTATTGTAGTTATGCTCAGGGATAGAAATGGAAACATGCTTGTAATAAATGGACAAAGAAATTCATGCCAATACACATCACAATCAAACTTCCAAAAACAAAAGACAAAGGAAAAATCTTGAAAGCAACAAGAGAGAAAACAACCTGACCTATAAGGGAAAAACAATTTAAATGACCACAGATTTCTCATCAGAAACCTTAGAGGCCAGAAAGGAATGGGGTAACATTTTCCAAGTGCTGAAAGAAAAAACTGTCAACCCAGAATTCAATATTCACTGGGAATATCCTTCAAGAATGAAGAGGAAATAGTCATTCTCAGACAAAGGAAAACTAAGAGAATGTGTTGCCAGCAGACGTACCCTAAAAGAAAGGTTAAAGAGTGTTTTCTAAAAAGAAAGTAATCTTGGAACATCAGGAAGGAAAGCCTAACAGTGGAGAGAGTAAATATATAGGGTAAATACAATAGATTTCCTCCTAATCTTGGGTCTTCTAAACTTTGTTTGATGGTTGAATCAAAAATTATAATACTGAGGGCTTCCCTGGTGGCACAGTGGTTAAGAATCTGCCTGTGAATGCAGGGATCACAGGTTCGAGCCCTGGTCCAGGAAGATCCCACATGCCGTGGAGCAACTAAGCCCGTGTGCCACAACCACTGAGCCTGCGCTCTAGAGCCGGCGAGCCACAACTACTGAGCCCACAACTACTGAGCCCGCGTGCCATGACTACCGAAGCCCATGCGCCTAGAGCCTGTGCTCTGCAACAAGCCACTGCAATGAGAAGCCTGCGCGCCACAATGAAGAGTAGACCCCGCTCACCGCAACTAGAGAAAGACCGCGCACGGCGACGAAGACCCAATGCAGCTAAAAATAAAATAAATAAATAAATGTATTAAAAAAAATTATAATACTGTCTGATGTGATTCTCAATCGGTAGAGGAAATATTTAAAACAACCATAATAAAAATGGGTGGGGAGGGAAGGTAGAGAATATAAATGGTGTGGGGGGAGAGGAAGTGGATGAGAATATAAAAGAGTACCACGAGAGATATTTGTGGTGTTGTAATAGTTCTGGATCTTGATTGTGGTGGTGATATCATGAATCTACACATGATAAAGTGGCATAGAACTATATACTCACATTGTTCCAATGACAATTTTATATTATACTATAATTACATAAGATATAATCATTGGGGCAAACTGGGTCAAATACCTCTGTTCTACATTTGAAACTTCCTGTGAGTCTATAATTATTTCAAAATTAAAATTTCGGTTTTTTTTTTTTTTAGTAGAAGAGGGGATATAAAATATAGAAATGTAAAATGACTTAAACTCTTATTTACTAAAAATGTATATAATTTTAAAAAATGAACAGAGCCTCAGTGACCTGAGAGCAATATCAAAAGCTCAAACACATTGTAAATGGAGTTCTAGAATGAGAAGAGAGAATGCAGCAGAAAAATATTTTAAGACACAATGGCTAAAAATTTCCCAAATTTGATAAAAGACGTAAATTTATAGATTCAAGAGGCTCAGTAAACGCAAAGCATAATTTAAAAAAAAAAATGTACACCCAGGTATATCACAATTAAACTACTGAAAAGCAAAGATAAAAAGAAAATCTTGAAGCACCGAACTGATCTCTCTGTGCCATGTGGCTGCTTCCCACTAGCTATCTATTTTACATTTGGTAGTGTATATATGTCCATGCCACTCTCTCACTTCGTCCCAGCTTACCCTTCCCCCTCTCCATGTCCTCAAGTCCATTCTCTACATCTGTGTCTTTATTCCTGTCCTGCCCCTAGTTTTGTCAGAACCATTTTTTTTTTTCTTTAGATTCCATATATATGTGTTAGCATACAGTATTTGTTTTTCTCTTTCTGACTTACTTCACTCTGTATGACAGACTCTAAGTGGCCAGGAACAAAAGACACATTACCTACAAGGAAACAATAATACAACTGATTATTGTCTTCATTTGTTTGTTTGTTTGGTTTTGGCCACGCCTCCTGGCTTGTGGGACCTTAGTTCCCCCACCAGAGATCAAACCCGGGCCCCAGCAGTGAGAGTGCCGAGTCCTGACCGCTGGACCGCCAGGAAATTCCCCTGACTACTGTCTTAACATTATAAATCATTGAGGCCAAAACACAGTTGAATGACATCTTTAGGGTGCCAAAATGAAAAATCTGTCAACCCAGAATTCTACGTCTAGTGAATACATCCTTCAAAAATGAAAATTATATAGACTATTTTTAGAAAAATGAAACCAAAGAAGTATTTATCATCAACAGACCTGCACTAAAAAATTACCAAAGAAAAAAAAAAAAAAAGAATTACCAAAGGAAGTTCTTCAGGATGAGGATAAATGATGCCAGATGGAAACAGACTTCAGGAAGGGATGAAGAACACTGGAAAAGAAAATATGTGGGTAAGTTTTAAAAGGTTATTTTTTTACTTCTGCATTTCTTCTTTCTTTTTTTTTTGTAAGAAGATTTTTAATTTGAAATATGGTCTGAGCAACATGAGTGTAGTATGTCTTCATTTCTTTAAAATACTTATGATTATATAAAGCAAAACTTTTAACACTATATTGTGGGTTTATAATATATCTAGTTGTAATACAGATGACGAGAATGCAAAGTTGGTTCAATATTCATAAATTCATCAGTGTATTTCACCATGTTAACAGAATTAAGGAGAAAAGCAATATGATTATTTCAGTTGATGCAGAAGAATCATTTGACACAATTTCACTCATGACTTCCAAAAAAAATTCAGCAAATTAAAGTTCATCAACTGGATGAAGGTCATACATGATATATTTAATGATAAAATATTGAATACTTTCCCTTTATGATAGTGAACAAACTAAGAATGTCCCCCACACCAATTTACTGATGTTTGCAACATTTTGAAATGTATAAAAATTTAAGATAGAGTATTTGATGAATAAAGGGATGGATACATAGAAATATGATAAAGCTAATATAGCAATTGTTAATTATAGACTCTAGGTGGTAGGTATGTGAACGTTGTTCACTCTGTAATTCTTCAACTTCTCTGTATGTTTGAAAATGTTGAACAACAAGGTCCCATTTTATAGCACATGGAACTATATTCAACATCCTGTGATATATATATGAATAACTGAATCACTGCTGTACACCAGATACTAACACAACATTGTAAATAAACTATACTTCAATTAAAAACAACAACAACAGGGCTTCCCTGGTGGCGCAGTGGTTGAGAGTCCGCCTGCCGATGCAGGGGACACGGGTTCGTGCCCCGGTCCGGGAGGATCCCATATGCCACCGAGCGGCTGGGCCCGTGAGCCATGGCCGCTGAGTCTGTGTCCAGAGCCTGTGCTCCGCAACAGGAGAGGCCACAACAGTGAGAGGCCCGCATACTGCAAACAACAACAACAACAACAAAAAAACCAACACAATAAATTTTGGCTTGCCTGCCCCCGCAAAAAAATGTTCATAATAAATGTTGAGGGAAAGTCTGCAAAGTCTTACATTAGAGAAATATGTTTGTTTAACTCTGTTTCCCAAACTTCTTTTTTCAACAAAACAAAATAAACAAAACCCCTAAGGAGAATGTAATAAGCCCTGCAGAACGTACTCTGGAAAACACTTCCTATTTAAATTTAGTTTACACCCATTTAGATTTTTAAAATAAGAATGGTGTTTCACATCCATTGATCTGTAACAAACCACCCCAAAACATAGTGGCTTAAAATGAGGACAATTTGTTGTTTCTCATGATTTTGTGGGTTGACTGGAGCTCACCTGGGTAGTTCTGTTGATCTCACCTGGAATCTCTCATGCATCTGAGCTCATCTGAAGCTTGAACATCCAAGGTGACTTCGCACCCTCCAAGGTCTCTCTTTGCGTAGCCTTCAGGTGGTCTAGTCTAACCTTCCTCAATAGCATAATGGCTCAACTCCAAGAAAAGAAAACAGAAGTTGTGAGTTCAGTAAGAGTTTGTGGATCTTCACTCTAGTACTTACCATTAATCTGAGTTGGCCACCTCCCTAAGACTCCTCCACTGTCCACTTGTGTTTCCTGTCATCTACTATCAATTCTTCCTCTCTACCATCGGCATTGTCTCTTTACCACATTGTTCTTGATTTCTCATCATTTCAGCCTGCCACGAAATATCATGGCCCTACCTCATGATCTAGACCAGGGATTGGCAAACTTTGGGCCTATGGGTCCAATATGACCTGCATAAATAAATAAATCTTTTTTGTAAGTAAATACAAAATAAGTAATAAGTAAATAAGTAAATAAAGCTTTATTGGATCACAGTCATATTCATTCACTATTGTCTGTGGTCTCTACTGGCTACAATGGCACAGTTGAGTAGTTGCAACAGAAACTGTGTGGTCCACAAAATCCATCTGGCTCTTTAGAGACTTTTTCCTGATCCCTTATGGCTCCTGTCTCTAGGCATTCATTTAGCTTCCATTCTCACTGACTTATTCTTGAAATATTTCCCAGTTCAAGTTCCTAGAAGAGAGAAAACCAAAATCCTCTGAAATGCTTATTCCTCAATCTGGAATGAAATGAAAGAGGACATTCCCATTTCATGACAGGCCACTCCATAGTGTGTTGGCCAGCTACGGAGAGGCTGCATGTGGGCAACGTGTTCTGTCCCCGCCTCATCCAATTAGCTGTGACTGAGGAAATGCAGGTAATATGTAGTCAGTAAAATGGAGCTGCCTGGAGGGATCGGGGCATGGTGGGCACTATTACATGTCTAGCACAACTGCAAATTGAACTGAATGAGCTGATATATGTAAAATTACATGACAATGTGCTTGAGCCATACATTTAAAAGGTGTCAGAAGTACTTGCCAATTAAGATCAATCTGAAATGAAATAGTACCCCTGAAATTAATAATATAAATCAGTGACAAAACATGATGTAACTTATACAAATTCAATTCACACAATATCATGGCTCTATTGCATAACAGGACATATACTATTATGGTGTGATTATACCTACACATCATAAAATACCATTAACATTTCCCAGGTGGCAAAAAGTAGGTGAAAAAAAGACTAAATGAGGGACATCCCTGGTGGTCCAGTGGTTAAGAATCCGCCTTCTAATGCAGGGGATGCAGGTTCCATCCCTGGTCTGGGAACTAAGATCCCACTTGCAACGGGGCAACTAAGCCCGCGTGCTGCAACTACTGAGCTCGCACATTCTAGTGCCTGCAAGCCACAACTAGAGAGACGCCCACACCGCAATGAAAGATCCCGCATGCCACAACTAAGACCCAATGCAGCCAAATAAATAAATAAATTAATTAATTATTTTAAAAAGACTAAATGAACAGTTAAATTAAGATTCAATGAGTATTGGCACTACTTAGATGCTAATTATCCTTTTTTATTTGGAAAAAAATCCAACAATTCATCCATTATGAATTATGTATTTTCTCAAGGATACATTACTATGAACACAGAATTCTGTAATAACCAGCACTTTTAATAGGTTTTTTCCCAACTTAAACTGCGTCTGCTTTGATTGCTTACATCTTGGCTCCCTTCCACACTACAGAGTATATAGTTCCAGCTCAGATCCTATATGGAGGACACCATGACAGTTTTGAAACAGTCCTCTGATCCTTTTAGCAATGTAAAAGGTATGGTACTCAGAGTACAATTTATAGAGAAATCTGACAGCGTTTTCAATAAGCAAACTTTAAAAAAAAATTTTCCCCATTGAAAAACAAACAAAAAAACCTGGGAAAGAGACTTTCAGAGCAACGCCTACAGGGACTTCCCTGGCAGTCCAGTGGTAAGACTCCGTGCTTCCAATGCAGGGGGCATGGGTTCAATCCCTGGTCAGGGAACTAAGATCCCACATGCCATGTGGTGTGGACAAAAAAAAAAAAGAACAATGACTACAACTTCTTCAACTTCTTGTCTGGACAAATTGTAACATACACAAATAGCTTCCAAAATAACTTTTATTACTATATAAAAACAAAGTCAAGAAAAAATAGATGCATTTTTTCTACAAAATTATAAAATATTCAGGCTATTTAATATTTTTCCATAAATGTGTTGAGATAAAAAGGCAAATTTAAACATAGAAATCTTTTCCACATAAAGTTTTCAGGTACCTTGTAGGGGATAAAGAATAGTTTTTCTTCTACTTTCCTATGTGTAGCTCTAAGACATAGCAGTTACAGCTTTCTGTCAGAGTTACCTAAAAAAGGACATACAAAGATAAAAATTCCATCATGTTGCAATAAAATTAGCAAAAAACTTTACTTTGGGCTTTCAGATTTGGCAGTTGTAGTCAACCGGTATTGCACTGGAATTTCCAACTCAGCAGGGAAAAGAGCCTAATTAAAAACAAGGCATCCTCTTAATTTTTGTCCTTTAGAAAAGCAGTCCCCAACCTTTTTGGCACCAGGGACCGATTTTGTGGAAGACAATTTTTACATGGAAGTGGGGGGGTGATGATTCAGGCAGTAATGCGAGCGATGGGGAGTGGCAGATTACGCTTCGCTCGCTCACTCGCCTGCCGCTCACCTCCTGCCGTGCAGCCCAGTTCCTAACAGGCTGTGGACTGGTACTGGTCCTCGACCCAGGGGTTGGGGACCCCTGCTTTAGAAAACAGAAACCACTTGTCAGTATTCCTTAAAAAGTACAATTACCTTTTTTGTCATTTGATCCTAAGCTCTGAGATGCTGTTTCCAACCCACACAGCTTAAATGAAACCACGAGAGGAAAGGGAAGAAGGTGATTTGGAGGGTGGATTCAGTTTGACACAAGGTGCACAGGAAGCTGTACACTTTTGATAACATTAACTCAAAAAGTATATTCATCTGAGTTTCTCAATAAACCCTTTGAGACAAAAGGCTTTAGTGTTGATTTAGATGAATGTTAAAGCGTTTTTTTTCTGAAATTAGATTATGGGGTAAGCCAAGCCAGACTATCTCTGCAGGTGATATAAGCTATAATTATTTGGGAAGATTTCAATCACTGTTTTAGAACCGATACCTAAGGCTTTCTTCTCCCCTGTTCTTTTTGTGGGCTTTTTAAAGAGAAATTTTGGGGGGAGATGCTTTAGGCAGGACAAACCAGCTTTTGAAAGATAAAGGTACAATTATCATTAGAATAAAAAGCCCATTAAAAGAAGAGTCTCAAACAGAAAGGTTTTCTAGATATATTTGACTATACATTGTTTTCATAAAGGTTGAGAAAGAAAGAGAAGAAGTTCCTATAATATCTGTAAGATTACCCTCACATTAGCCCACAAGAGGGATAAAATAAAGGGCTGAGATGAGGGGTGTTCAGATACTTCTCAATGGAGCAGAATAGTCTAGTGCCAAATCCATAATTAACTTTTAACTAATAACCTCTTTCTTGGCCTATATGAAATGGAATGGCAGCTTCAATCCTTGGGGCTGCCACTATCCCCTTCCCCCTAAAAAGCCCTGGAATTTTGTGCACCTCTATGTAATGAAATATCCATTCACCAAAATATGTTTGTGTGTGACAATGCAATTATTCCTTCCACTTAGCACCCTAACTGTAGCATGCTCTACTTATACTGAATTTATGTGTCTACTACATGCCAGGCATTGGGCTGGGCACTAGGGATTCTTATGACACTATTGCCAATTTTGGAAACAGAATTAAGAAAACAGTGTTTTGGTGAGGGACTCTTGAATGGATATTGTGAAGCTTCAGGGATGTGACGGAATATAGTTTGTACTCAGTCTATGGAAGTAATTACCAGTTACCCTAAAAGGAAATTCACTAAGCACCAAAAATGTTAAGTTTATTTGGTGTAAACTGTATGGTTTAAAATTGCAGGGAAACCAAAAATCAATCCCAAACGAAAAGCAACATTTCAGCACAGGCGCCACTCTAGGTTTTAATTTAAGTCAGCCCAGAGCCTAGACAGAGGCCTCATGCATGAAAACTGTCATCTCTGAGTCTTAATTCGCTACTGAGAACCAAAGCACAAGATGTCCCCTAAAATTCCACCCAAATCAGGAGGGACCCTAGCTTTTGCCCCTGGGGAAGGGCAGACCATGAAGTCCATCTCTCCTATCTCCAAACCCAAAGCTGTTCAGCAGCGATATTGTTGCCTAAACCTTTCTTTGCTACCAAGACAGATTTAAGATCAAAGGGGCATCAAGGTAAGCCATGGCTTGTTGCCCGTGGCAGGGTGCCCATGATGAATTTCCAGGTAAGGGTAGGCCTTTCTCCTTGGTTATTTGGGAAATCTGCCTTGGAAACAGAGCCAGAAGGTAAATTTTAACAACTCTACTGCATTCCACCAAATGAGGTTTATCCACGGGTGGGTCAAAACAGGTATAAATTAGCATGTAACAGAAAAAACAGCATAGTGAGGTGGTTAGGATCATGGACTGAACTGAGGTGCCAAACTGCCAGGTTTTGAATCTCAGTTTCACCACTTATGAGATGTGTGACCTTGGGCAAGTTACTAACCTCTCCAAGCCTCAGATCTCTCATCTGTAAAATGGAGCTTTTAATGATGCCTACCGCAAAAGTTTTGTCTGGGGGTTGAATTAGCTAAGATTTATAAAGTGCTTAGAATAGTGTCTGACACTTAGTAAGTTCCATGTTTAAAAAACCCAGAAACTTGGGGAAAAGTGCTCTTTAAGGTTTGTGGAGTAGTTTATACTGCTTAAGCATTCAGGCATATTCTCATCCTAATTAAGTTTAGAATCTGGATCATAAAGTATACCAAACCCAAGGAAGCCTTGGGATTAAGTCAGTTTTGGAAAAACTTCCAGGTCCGACCAGGCAAGATCTTCAGCTACCTACAGCCCTATCACTGCTCCAAAATGCCCTAATACAAACCCTGGTCTCCAGGGCCAATCTAAGGATAAACCAGCTGGGGAGGGAGCAAAGGGTAGGCACAGGGAAAAGGGAACCAGTTACTTTCCTAAATTTTTTTCTGTGCTCTAGTCATGACATCTGTGTAGCATTAACCCTGTCCCACATATGCATGATCTGATTCCAAAACTTTACAACTGGACTCCCAGAATTAACAGAAAATGACTGCATGACAAGAGGCCAGGGAAGCTGCCAGTTTATCAAATTTACCAACCAACAGATACATTTTGATCATCTGTTCTATGCAAGGCACTGTGCTAAATGCTTTGGTCCTCAAGAACAAGGTAATTAACCACAGTTTACACCTGCTGTTATTTACATTGATCATCTCCCTTCCAATTCAGGTAACTTCATAGGCCTCAACCAATACAAATGCTTTCAAGAAATCCTACTTTACGATTAGAATAAATATTGAGTCTGTGGAGCTCAATCATCTTACGGCTAAATAAGAGAAGCTAAACTGTAGAACTAATGGAAGTTATATGGCTACATCTCTAGCCCATTTTACATGGTGGATCTCTGTCCAGCCTCATCAAGGGTGATGTTTCTTTTCCTTGCTGCTGCTTCACTGTTTAACTCTGAATCTGATTTGTCCATATTGCCAAAGTTCATTGCCATGGAACCTTCCATTCCCTCTGGAGCGCCTCCGTTTGGCTGAAGAAGGACAGAATTTGGTTCTTTAGGACGTTTCCATTGTGGTCTGGTGACTATCCAAAAAATGAGCGCCCCAAACACCAGAATCAGAAGGCCGAGGGTATTTGTGAAAACACCTTCTGGTGGGAATGTACTGTATGCAGGATTTTTCCTGCAAAAAAGGAGAGAGTGTGTCCAATTACAAATAGGGTGATACACCAAGGGGGGAAAGCTGGGAGGGAGGGGGAGGATGAATTGGGAGATTGGGATTGACATATATACACTAATATGTATAAAATACGTAACTAATAAGAAACTGCTGTATAAAAAAATAAAATTAAATTTAAAAAAATTAGGGTGATACAGCAACATGCCGAACAGTCTTGAATTTATCTCCTCAAAATGCACACTGGTACAGCTTCAATGTAAATTCCCTTAAAGCTTGACATTAAGAAGAAATTTAAGATATGCTATAATTCACTCAATGGATTAGTATGAAATTGTTAAAAATCATAAGTATGAAAATAATATAGCATCTAAAACACCTGCATCACTTAAAATTTAAAAAATGATACAAAAATGTAGGTATATCATAATTACAGTTAATATAAAAACATACACATCAAAACGATTGAAAGGGCATGCATAACTTCAATAGTTGTTTTGTAAGAGTAGTACAATTTGTTGGACTGTTTGGCTTTTCTTCCAAGCATTATTAATGTTATATCACATGTATAATATAATACATTTCTAAAATATTTAAATTTTCTATTTTCAACATTTAAAAATTTTTGTTACATTTATATTTGTCCAATGAACAAGTATTTAACATTTTGTAGCTTAAGAATTGCAATTAGGAAAACTATGCAACTTACAGGGCAAAAATCAGTTTCTCCGTCACTCCCATAAGTACTGTTGCAATCACTGTTCCAAAGACGAGAAGTCCAGAATAAACATGTATGGGCATGAGAAGTGCTCGGAGAGAAAGTGGAGCCCAAGGAAGCAGAAAGACAAAAAAACCTAGGAGAAGCTAAACATCAAAAAGTACAAAAGTTATCAATTAATTGTAAGTTTTAACTAATTTTAAAATTATTATAGAAGCAATATGTACAAAATGAGAAGACATTTCATATAGAACCAAGGGCATAAAATGAAGTTTCCCCATTCCAGTTCCACTCACTCTCTCGAGTATCCTTCCAGAAAATTTCTATGACTAAACAAGCGTGTGTGTGTGCACACATGTGTGTTTAAAAAGAGAGTAAGTCAGACATAGAAAACAAACTTATGGTTACCAAAGGGATGAAATAGGAGGTTGGGACTAAAATATACATACTACTGTATAAACAGCACAGATAAACAACAAGGACCTACTGTATAGCACAGGGAACTATACTCAATACCTTGTAATAACCTATAATGGAAAAGAATCTAAAAAAGAATATATATATGTGTGTGTATGTGTATATATATACAGTGTGTGTGTATATATACATACATATATATATATAAAAAATGGAATCACCTTGCTGTACACCTGAAACACATTGTAAATCAACTATATTTCAATAAAATTTTTTTAAAAAGAGAGAGAGGGGGACAGTTTTTTAAAGTACAAGTGGGATTTTACTATACATATTTGTTCTGCATATTGCTTTTTTCCCTGAATAGTGTATCTTGGAGATCTTTTCATATCAATGCATGTATCTAGTTTATTCTTTTTAATGGCTGACATTCTAAGACTGTAACAAATTATTCAGTTCCCTATTAATGGATATTTCTGTTTCTAGTTTTTTGCTATCATTAACAAGGCTACAGTGAACATTCTGATACTTATTTGCTTTTTATCAATTTCCTTAAGGTTGCCAAGTAGGAAGGGAAGTAAAAGATTTTTAAGTCACTAAATCCAAATACAATAGAACACATTTATTCAGTTCAACCTAAAAAACTATGTGGAAAAAACCTGGCAATTTTGTTTTATGAGGAAGAAATGAGTTCTGCAGAAAATTCTCTCCATTTCCTTGATAATTAAATCCCTAGTGGGATACTTCTCTGCAGAGAAGACAACAAGATTATTACATAAACTAAAGTCTGTTAATGCTTTCACAGTTTTGTTTTGTTGCCCCAGACCCCTGCCCATTAAGTAATCTCTTCTCCTCCAGAAAATAAAGATGACTCAGTGACCATTGAGTTACTGAGTTTAAAGAGACTTCTTTTTCAGGTATCTCTTTGGTATCTACCACTCTAACAAAACAACTATGAGAATGAGGAGAAACACTAGCGTCACTGTTCATTTTTCCTGATTGATATCAAAGGACTAACGGGGGACAGAGAGGAATGAAGGCAGAAGGGGTGTGATGCCCTAAAACACATTTAGAATCAGAGTAAAGGCAATAGTAATGAATGGAAAGTAACTGAAAATGCATGCAATAGGCTGGTTTGCATATTTTATTGTCCATTAATACCACAGATGCCTGAGTATATTAGAAATGGTTCAGAGAGTCCCCCTTGGTGGTTCAGTGTTCCTAATTCTCCTTCAGTGATCTTTAGTGATTCTTTTAGTATCAAAGGGTAAGCATCCTGATGTACAGGTTGTGCTTTCTATACAAAAATGGGGCTCAGGTGAGTGACTGTCAAGGATTTAGCACAAATACATTTCTACGAGTAAGTCACCATATCTTTTCTGTGACTTATCCATGTAAATATATATATTTTTCCATATTCCTGTTATCCTGCCTTTCTATTCCTAAGATTCTTATTGTTTTGAATGATTCTTACTGTTTTCTCTTATTTCTTTCAGGATTTATCATGTGTGTCTCTTGTAATCCCATAAAGCTTAATGATCTAAGTAGATGGGACACCAGAAATTTGCATACAGGACCCCAGGACGATTTAACTCTCCTAAATCTTACTTTCCCCATGAAAACATTTTTTTTTCAACAACAGAAAATTACTTTTAAAAGGAAAGGAAAAAATTACAGAACACTTAACTTTGATTAAAAGGGTTCCAAATTATGCAAATGTATAATAGCTTATAAAAAGTTAAAATTTATATTAATCATTCTCTATTTCCTTTTAACCATCTTAGCCTTACTATCTTACAAGTAATAGGGCAACTTAAATCCTAGTGGACTGAATATTACAAAATCCTTAAGTTCCTTTAAGTCAGTGTTTCTTGAAATGTTGTTCATAGAAGACCTGTATCAGAAACTCTTAAGGTGTTTATTTAAAGAGATCCCTGTGCCACATCCAAATCTGCTAAATCAGAATTTCTGGAAGTAGTGTTTAGGAATCTGCATTTTGATGGAATGCCAGGGTGATTCTTGCTACATGTTGCAGTCTGAAGACCACTGCTTTTGATTCGCCCAAGTTATTTCAGAGATATGGGTTAAGTGCATTCTGGAAAATCCCTAAAAGTGAAGGCAGTAGACTGCTACCTTCAGTCTACAAACACTTATTAAGTGCAAACGAAGTGCTCCAGAGTTTAGGAACCATCACCTACAGAAAACTGCTCTTCACCACTATGGAGTTCTTAGGAGAGCTAAAGAAGAGTAAAATCTCATTTAAAAAGTTATTATTTAGATATGAAAGTGAAGATGTAGTATGATTCTAATTATGCTTAAATTTTTTTCTTAACTATATATTCATGGGCATAATAAGAGCCTAAAGGAAATAAACCAAAATATAATGATATCTCTAGATTATGGCATTATCAGTGATTTGAGGATTTTTCTGATTTTATAAAATTTTAAATAAATGTATATTACTTTTATAATTAGAAATATATAATGAAAGTTTACTTTTAAAGTTCCTGGGTTAGATATCTGGGCTTTTCTCAGTTGATTATTATTGTCCTTTAAAGATACAAATGTATTTTACTATGCCAGTTTTATCTCACTTTATGAAACAGATGAGTTTTTAAAAAAAAGATATGTGTAAACTTTTAGACATAATAAAAGCTTTTATTTGCAAAAGTCATTAATGAGACGAGGAAACATCTGCTTAGCTAGCTTTTGTATTAGGTTTGATTTGCTTTTCTTTAAGGGTACAGGTGGATTTAATGTGAATCAAGTGATTTACAGATTATTATATGGAGGCTCCTCCCAGCTCCTCTTCATTTTTCTGCTATTGTATATATAGCCAGTAGAGATTCAACCAACTGCTGATGGAAAATTTTTTTTTTTTTTTTTTGGTAGGCGGGCTTCTCACTGCCGCGGCCTCTCCCATCGCGGAGCACAGGCTCCAGACGCAAAGGCCCAGCGGCCATGGCTCACTGGCCCAGCCGCTCCGCGGCATGTGGGATCCTCCCGCACCGGGGCACGAACCCGTGTCCCCCGCATCGGCAGGCAGACTCTCAACCACTGCGCCACCAGGGAAGCCCTGATGGAAAATATTTTTTTTAATTTCCAGAAAGTTCCAAAAAGCAAAATTTGAATTTGCCAGGCAATTTTTTACATAGCATTTACATTGTATTAGGTATTACAAGTAACCTAGAGATGATTTAAAGTATACAGGAGGATATGCATGGGTTATATGCAAATACTACACCATTTTTTTTTTAATATAAATTTATTTATTTATTTTTGGCTGCATTGGGTCTTCGTTGCTGTGCACGGGCTTTCTCTAGTTGTGGCGAGCGGGGGCTACTCTTTGTTGCGGTATGCAGGCGTCTCATTGTGGTGGCTTCTCTTGCTACAGAGCACAGGCTCTAGGTGCGTGGGCTTCAGTAGTTGTGGCACACGGTCTCTAGAGTGCAGGCTCAGCAGTTGTGGCGCATGGGCTTAGTTGTTCCACAGCATGTGGGATCTTCCTGGACCAGGGCTTGAACCCGTGTCCCCTGCACTGGCAGGCGGATTCTCAACCACTGTGCCACCAGGGAAGTCCCTACACCATTTTATATAAGGGACTTGAGCATCCACAGATTTTGGTATCCATGGGGGTCCTGGAACCAATCCCTCGCGGTTACTGAAGGATAACTATATTCACTCATTCCTTCATTTAAAGCACATATTTCTGGGCCACATCCCTAGAGTTTCTGACTCAGTAGGTCTGGAGTGGAGCCTAAGAATCTATTTCTAACTCCCCTGGTAATGCTAATGCTGCTGTCCTAGGGACCACTCTTTGAGAAGCTCTGTCTTAGGTTATTTGCAAGTTGTGTTTTTCAAACATAACAGCATATTTTCTAGGGGTAAAAACACCTAATCAGAACCAACTAGAATATATCCATAGTTTTTTGTAAAAAGAAATGACAGACATTCAAATTGAAGTCTCCTGTCAATATCCTACATTTTCTTGCTACACTGTCTTTCATCAAGTCCACCTGGCAATACCTCAACCTGGCTCAGACATCTTCAGGACTACCCCTGGTATGCTAGGTCCCACTGGAGTAAATCATGCAGTCAAGGGGACTAGCATCACTATAAATTCATGGTTATGATGCTCATGGCTATAAGCACTTCCGTGCTGCTCAACAATCCTCCTACTGTATGATTTATCAACTGGTCCTCCATGTTTCTCCCAGACACAAACCTCTGGCTCTCTTGTGTGCCTCCCCACTATTGGCAGATGATCCTACTACCACCTCATGGGAAAACAGAGGCAACTTCAGAGAAGAGCCTCATTTTTCTGCCACCAAACGAAACAAACCAAAAAACCATCCCAAGCGAACAATTCCTTTCCTTCTTCAGTTGCAATGGAGTTGGTGTCCTCCAATTTTCCAGCAGTCTCCACAACCTACTTCTTGAAGACATAGCTATAAATTATTGCATCTCTCCAGTATTCACTACCTTTCCTTCTCTATGGTGCTATCCAGTGAGCATTTTAACATGCCCAAGCTTCTCCCAACAAAATGAAGTAAAAAAGAAAGCACCCAAGCACCTGACTTGACTCTTGTCTCTGACCAGTTACCAACCTCTCTTTCGCTTCCCCTTCTTACCCAAACCTCTTTATTGAGTTGTCTCTATTTTCTCACTGTAAACAAAGGAGGAAAAAAGAGAATTTTGCTCAATACCCAATTCTACAAGGATTAACCTG